CCTCTCATATTTGGCAATTTAGCAATCCTTGAGCTATTTTTCTTTTATTTTGAGAAGCATTTCTTTACGAAATCACGTGGTCCCGCAGTGGACTGATCGTTAAGACACTGTTCCCAGCAGACCACCGAAGTCAAGCATCACTGGCTGCGGTCAGTGTACGGGTGGGTGACCACCTGGATCAGTCTGCGTAGGGACCGAGGGTGTGCGGTATTGGTCCTCGTTAAACTGTGCTACCGTAAAGTGCTCGACTTCGCGCGCAGGTCGTCGGGCTACCGAAGCGGGGGTGCCATCCCCTCCGCAGAGGATCAAAATTGTGATGGCATGTCTTCGGATCATCCTCCGGGATGTTTCCCAGACCGTCGCCAATAGCCCATTGTGCAGCTCTAGTGCGACGTAAATTAACAACAACAACGAAATCACGTGATTTATGACAAAACGCGAACTGTCAAATATGTGACGAAAATATTTCCTCAACTCGAAGGAGATTGTTTACTAGAATGACGAAACTTGGATGCAGAATAGACGATCGAAAATTAAGTGATGAAATAAGTCGATCGGCTTCTACGGTGGTCAAGGAGTTGACCTTGTATTAGGAATCCGGCTTCGTATATAAGTGTAATTTATCACTCTGTTCTAGCTGTCCTTGTGTTGTTAGGACAAAACTGATCCCCTTATGTGGTGCCCGCGATTCAGAGATACGATACATTAGACACTGCGAGTTTTTTTTTTCTGAGGCGGAGGCAGTATTATGAAATATTTATTTTATTTTGACGAAATTCGTTTCCTTAAAGAAGTGACGATAGTTATTTCGTTACTTTGACGAAATAAGAAGCATATACCAGGAAATAGTTTCGTCAAAAAGGTCTCATTTGTGTGAGTAAACATTTCACCAAATTGCGGAAATAACAAACTTCACTTGTATAAGGAAACGAATTTCTACAAATAAATTCGACTTGGTGTAACATAACAATAAACGCAATTGATCAAGAAATAAAACATACAGTTAACGAAATATTAATTAATAAGTAATATCCTGCCACAAGAAGAACTCAAAAGTAAACAAAGGTAAATTGAGTCGAATTTCACAAACTTTTTTAAGCTTCTGCCGAAACCGTTTCTCAAGAAAATGCTACGAGAAAATATCACCAGAATTGTAAAAACGGCAAACTTCACTTATTTGGGGACAAGAATTCTTCAAATGCAATACAATAAATGCTACAATAAACGCAATCATTTAGAAAATACAACACGCAGTAAATTAAATATTATTAAATGAGTTAGTGTCCTGCCGTCAGGGTGGAGTTTCATGATTCTTTTTTTTCCTTGCTTCTAAAATTCTGGGAGATGTTTAAAAAAATGAAAAAAAATTTCACTAAGTCTCGGAGATATTAATTATTTTATTATTTCGTAATCTTCATACTTTAAACACCTACGAAACAAATTAATGCAAACTTAAAGTAAATTGCGAGCCCTCCATCGAGAAGCATCTATTTTAAAATATCAATATTATTGAAAACTCTCATTCACTCTTCATTTATAATTAAGTTAAATTACACAGAATACTAAAAAAAAATCACTTAGGCTTTAATAATAAACAAATTTTTTAAAATTTTTATCTAATTGAATTTTAATTACATTACCATATTTCCCAAAATGTGATAATTGAAAATTTTTCGATCATAATTTATGCCCAATCTATTAGCGTGATGGAAATTTTCATTTCCTTCAGCCAACAATAAAATTAATTATTCATGCGTGAGATCCAACCGCAGAAATCTTTCTAAGGACATCACATGACTTGCAGAGAGCTCACCAACACCCTCCCTGCGGCGGCAATATTTTTGGTTGGGGACAACATCCTCCACCGAAAAGCGCTGTCAAACTTAAACCATTTCCCCTGTCTTTGCCAGAAATTCCCTCCAAGCAAAGGCAATTTTAATGATGTACGAACTTTAGATGATCGCTAATGAAAATCCAAGTTTGACTTTTCGGGGTCAAAGTCAAAGTGGAAGTTTCTGCTCAATGCTTTGGACGTGATTAAGGACGTTTGCCGTGAGAATAATGCGCATCTGAAATGCTTGAAAAGGTTTCCAGAATTTGGATTGGATGAGAAAATGGTGACCTAAATAGCATAAAGTTACCTTTGCTAATGGTTACTGATGATTTCATTAAAGATTCATACATCAGCACTAATCTGAAAGATTTTATTTTATTTTCTTCGAGGTAATTAGTGAGCAGGAATTCTCTGTGGATCATTTTGATGATTTGAACTGTTTAGTTCGCAATGTTTGCGACAAAAGTTTGTTTTTGAGAAAAGTTTTCAGATCAAAATTGTTTAATATTTCTCGGTCAAATTGTATAAAAATCCTCATTCTAATGGAAGTATTGAAATTGAAGTTTAAACTTTTTCCTCGGAGGAGTTGGAAAGTGGATTTAGTTTTTGTAATTCTAATGGAAAAGTAATCAAGCAAATTCACTTGCTTCTTTTTTCATTTTTTTCATAGCGCCAATAAACTTTTTACAGGAAATCTCCTGAGTGATTAAAATAAATTTATTTAGATTAAAAACTGTTTAGATTACAATTTTTGTATGTTATAAAATTTAAATGTTTTTAAGCTTTATTGTTTTGAAGAAATTTTAATAATTTTATTTATGAGGAACTTTAAATGATTTTTATTTTCTTATTAGTTACTAGTTTTTTTCTTTCAGTTCAACATTTGACGAATCGAAATTCTTGCTTTTTAATTTTTTTCTTTGCTTTTGATTAATTAACTCCTTGAGGAAATTCTCTAGAGTAATTAAAAGAAAATTATTCAGTCTGAAACTTGCTTAATGTTAATTAAAGGGAGTTTCTATTTCTTTATTTACTCATATGTATAAATCTATCAACATTGAATTTAATTTTTAATTCTAATTATTTAGACTATATTAGGTTTGGTTCTCATGCAATTAAGATTGATCCTAGTCGGTGGAAATCAGTTCATTATATCCGAAGTTATGCAGTGTGTTCGCTTTTTTTCATTTTACATAATTTCATTCATCATCTTGTCTGGTTTATAAATACGCTTTCTGCAGTTATTTTTATTATTTCATCACCATGTAGCGATCATATTTATCTCTGCTCTTCCTGATGTTGTTTAAACTTTGGATAAAATATACGTAATCTCCACTGGTCAACGTTTGTGTCCTTTCTTTTAATGTGTTTTTATTTTTTCTCTTATTGCAAGGGATAGTGAGCCACTCTCAACATAAATCTCTTCCACATAAAGTACGTAAAACAGTTAAAAAATTGTTAGGTTAAGTTAAACTCTCATAAAGTAGCTAAAGACTGAGAAAAAAAGTCCTGTAGTTCGAGGATAAAATCTGTTTTACACTTAATTTCCCTTACGCGTGTAATGTTAAAGGCATTTGTTATTTATTTAGAATTAGTTTTATTCAAAGGAAAATTTAATAAAAGTTTTAAAATCAGGGAAAACGGTCTATTAGAAAAATTCTTCATAGAGCCTGTTGATGTAAACATTTTATGTTAAAATAATTTTAAATTATAATAAATTAATTGATCAAGAAATCAAACAGGTTTGAATGTTTTCTTGAGCCCTGTATTCCTCAGTTGAGAATACTGTATTTAAAATCTTTCTCAATAATAAATTAAAAATATTAATTAGGATTCGTTTAATTAACATTTCAGCGGAAATGAGACAAAGATGGAATCTAAATTTGCCAAGTTTCTATCTAGTAAAGGAAGATGAAAAATATCAAAGGAAGTTTGATTACTTTATAAAACTTAATGGTGTTTCAAAAATTGTTTTTAAATTCTTCTCTGTTGCTTTCAGAAATCAAAAACGATTTGGTTATTTCAGTCTAGCCTTTCTCAGTTCTTATTTATAAAAATTTCGAAATCGTTTTTATTCTTTATTCGCATAAAATATTTAATTTCGATCCCTAATGTACATTCTTTGTTATTTTCTTTATAACAAGGATTCTAAAATCAAGATTCTTGGGTGACCATTACAGAAACTATAGGGGATTCAAAAGAAACTCTAATACAGAGTGTAACTGATGTAGTTTTCCATATATTTTAGTTTATACCAACTTATGTTATTAATTGGTTCCATTATATGTTTGATAATGTAAATTTTGTTTCTCTTTAATTTTAATAAATTATTGTTAAAATTTTTCTGAACATAATGTTCATGTGCTGCCACGCTTTTGAAAAATTCCCGTCTTACAATCGAGTTATACACAGGGTATTTTTTTCTTCATTTATGACATAGATTGCAAACTTAAGTGGTTAGTTAACCACTTAAGTTTGCAACCAGTAAAAACATACATATAATGTAACCAGTTGGTTGCATTATATGTTTGGTAATGTCAAATTAATGTCAATTTTTTTATTGGGAAAATTATTTTTAAGTTTTTCTATTAAAAAACGTGCTTAAATTTTTATGGGCTGTCGCGCTTTTGAAAAATCCCCGTCTTACAATCGAGTTATACACAGGGTCTTTTTTTCTTCATTTCTGACATAGATTGCAAACTTAAGTGGTTAGTTAACCACTTAAGTTTGCAGCCAGTACAAACATACATATAATGTAACCAGTTGGTTGCATTATATGTTTGGTAATGTCAAATTAATGTCAATATTTTTATTGGGAAAATTATTTTTAGGTTTTTGTATTATAAAACGTGTTTAAATTTTTATGAGCTGTCACGCTTTGGAAAAAGTATCGTATTATTATCGAGTTATACACATGTGATAATATGCTGGGTGTTTTAATCTTCTTTATTTGTGACAGTATTTCGTAATGTATTAAGTTCTGTTACTACAGAAAATGCTGTATTTATAAAAAGTTCTTTTTAAATTGTGACTATCGAGTAAAGGGACTTTTCAATACGAGTCTGAATATTTTGGTCAACTTATTTCTGCGAAATCAAATCTATGCTTGGGAGAATTTTATGAGATTCAAAAATTTTGTGCAAAAAATAAATATCAAAATTATCACCTCTTTTCCATGTAATGCTGTCGAATGGATATCCTCCGAAGGGGCACGTGACCCTAAAAGTTCCCCCTGCCAAAGCTGTTAGGTTGCTCAACGGTCTTATGAACAAGGAACCGAACACATTCAATCGTCTAGAATGAGATGTACTCCCAGCTTCATTAAAGGCTGTGCATGTATACACGCCACTGTCTGTAACATCTGTGGATGTTATATTAACATAACTGATGACGTCACCTCCGCCACTGAGATAAGTACTGACAATGACACCTGGTCTTGTTGTGAGTGTCCAGATTTCGTCTAGTGTCCACTTGATTTGGGGAGCTGGATTACCACTTGATATGCATAACAGAGAGATGAAACTTCCAGGTCTGACTGTTTTCTCTGGGAATGTAAGCTTAAATAATGGTGCCAGGTCTAAAAAATAATCAAAAGTTATACGTTAATTTTCGGCATCGATATTGATAATTGGAGACTGAGAAAAAATATGGTAAAATTTGCAAAGTTTCTGGTTCTATTTGAACATCAAAAATCACGATAATTTTTCCCGAAGCACTTTGGTAATGATTTAATTAAAATCTCTATCAATAATTAATTATAATATTATTAACACTATCATTTAGTTTTATATTATATGATAAAATTTGGAAAACGTAATAAAATTTGGTAATTATATTCTGATAGATTATGCATGGCATAAAAACAATTTAGTCGATAAAATTAATTTTCTAGTTGTTATTTTTTACTAAATGTGTGAACTAGAATATTTAAAACCAGAACTTGCGGTAAACCGTTACCATATGAACGGAAATATTACCAAGTGAATGGTACAAATGCCATATATTTTGGTTTTATTATCCAGAAGTATTATTTTTTTTTAACCAGAAATATCATTATGCTAATTTTACTAAATTTGTTTCTCCGTGTATTAGTAATAAAACAATTAATAATTAATAAAACAAATAATTTGCGTAATAATCCTTATATTTTCTGTTCACTTGAAAAATTTGGTATTGGTTTAATTGGATTAGAAGATTGTTCAGTTTGGTTTAAATAATTTTGTAAATTCTGTTTGATTCCAAATTCTATTTACAGAACACTTTAAAAAATAAAATTCATATATTTATTCTGTAGTTTTAAACAGATAGGCCAAAATTAACATTAAATGTGCAGCAACTAATTTTTGTAACTAAGTTTTTTATATTAATACCAAAATCAATTATGAGAGAATTTTAAAAATTTGGCTTTCGGGGCACTAAAAAACCCAAAATGCTAAATAAATATCCGGAAAAATTCAATGATAAATTGAAATAAGCTATTTAAATAATATTCTAATTAAAATTACTTTTGCAGCATATATTTTCCTTAGCTGAATTAAAATTTAAACTAAAAATCTTGATAGCTACTTTTAGTCTAAAACTTAAATGTTTTACAATTTTGATCGAAATTTTCATGAGTATGCATTTTAATTTAATATTTTTTTTTTGTAAATATTTACTGTATTTGATTTGTAGCGGAAACTAATATATAGATAACTACTTTTAATTTTCTAACTAATTTCAGCAACTTGCTCCCCTTCATTATAAGAAGTTAAAATCTCTGACGACCACTATAAAGTGATGAAACTTTTCTAACACATGAGTTTTTGAAGGGAATTATTATTTGCTCAAAATAAACTTTAAAATTAATTCTCAGAGACATTTTAAAATTTGGGATTTTGGTCAACAAGAGAACTAAGTATCTAAATAATTTGCTGGAAAAAGAACTATTCGATAAAACTCCGATTATTTTTTTTAAATAAGCGCATTGATAGTTCATACCAATTTTATTAAAAATCATCAAAAGTATCTACTTTAATAAAGAAACTTTTTTTTTAAATATTTACTTCAGCTAACTAAAATCAAGATGGTTACTTATAGTCTTCTAACTAATTTCCGTTATTTGCGCTGTTCTACTTGAACCCTAATAGGAAGTTAAGATCTCCCGACATAGCCATAAAGAAACAAAACTTTTCTAACTAAAGAGCATTTGAAGGAGAAATTAGGAGAAATACTTCACCTCCAATAACGAGTCTGGCGGCCGCTTGGGAGGAATACACGTCCCTATGGACAAAACACTGGTACATTCCTGAATCCTGTCTCTTTAACTGTCTCAGTTGAAGGGAGGTGGGTGTGGGGAACTGGACACGGGAATTGGCAGAGATAAATCGTGTGTCCTTTTTCCAAACGACACTGCCAATTGGCTGACCTTCCACTGAACAATTGAAGAGGGCAGTTTTGCCAACATCTAGTTGCAACTCTGGAGGTAAAAGAGCCACTCTTAGTGGTTCTGGAAGAAAGAAAAAAAGAAAAAGAAGAAGAATCATTACTTGAAAAAAGTAAAATAAAACATTTGGTTGAAAAAAAATGCTAGAACAGAGAAAAGAATACCATACCGTTAATTCACTTTTATGCTAGGGATATAACTTTATTTAAGAGACTTAATTGATAATGAATTCAAGAATTCATAAAGAAAAAAGTGAATTCAAGTGACATTTTTCTGAGTTTTGATATTTTTAGGCTAACAGTTGGTAGGTTGAGTAAAATTTGCCTTTTATTCTTGTTTGCAATCATCATTTTGGAGAAATCTTTAAGAACTTATAACTTAACTCCCTAAAATTTAAACTATCTGTGTCATGGCATTCTCATTCTTGGCGTTTTAATTTGGTGTGCAAAGACAGATTTTCTACGGTTACTCGTTAACTGTTTATAGCGAAATATACTTGGATCATTTTTCCACTCCAATAACACTCATGGACTCTCGCATGGATCATTCATCCTATCGATCTTCGGAACTAAAGAAGTTAGCAAAATAAATAAATGCTGCATAGTTAATAAGACAAAATTAAGAAATTTATCAGATGATTCTAAAATATGTAATAGATGTCACTTACAAACTTCACTCTCTTGAAATTAAAAATAAGTGAATAGAAAATGCTAAAATTTAATTCATGTAAACTCTCTTAAATATGAACATAGAACTAATTACTTACGCTAATTCTAATTTAAGAAAAAACTCATTAGTAAAGAATTTAATTATGAAATTAATTACTAATCAAACATATAGTAACGTATGTTTTTTGAAACCTGAATTTTGACGAATAAACATCAAAATTACTTATTATCAGTTGAAAGCACACCTTAGAAGCATTTTTGGGCGGACTAAAATAAACCTTTCACCAGTAAAGAATTAGAAACAATAGTGGATTTAATCATCTAAATAAGCAAAGAAAATATTTCTTGATTCTTAAAATCTGGAGATTCAACTCAGTTGTGCCAGATAGAAAGTGTGAATAAAGATATGGGGCTGGGAAAAATATTAAGTTTGAATCCCATGAACAAGACTTAAAAAGAGATGGCTAGCTGATGTAACAAAAGATTAAACCATAATGAAAATTACCGACTGAAAATCTTAGATTTAGGTTTGGAGCGACAATGTTAAGCAGGCCAATATCCAATATGAACTGTACCACCATAAAAGAAAGAATTTGGATTAATAAATAACATATACAATTTAAAAAAGTTTAAAACGTCTGTTTGACTTGATTGTAAATGTCTAATTGATGAAGCAGTAAATTTCTAACTGCTTAAGCAACTTATTTTAAAAAGTGAGGAAAATTATTGAATTTAAAATTCTTATTTCAAAAAGACAATTATATTTTTTTCTATAAAATATTCTTTTTTTTCTATGAAAATACATTAATTTTCATAAGATACTAAATGTTAGGAGTTAAAACCAGGTAGCAATTAAAAAAACACTTGCGATTCCCAAAGTTAAACAGCGGACAAATAACTCCTAGAACATTTATATGGGCCAGGATAGCCTGGTTCAAACCCCGCCGGCCGAAGATTCCCCATGTAGTTGGTGACTGATGCACGTTAAAATTCTGTCGAGTCGCAAAGTCCTCCATGTTCCCATAACAAATCAAAACCTCTGGGGGTACTGAATTGGAGATCGAACGTTGTCTAAATCAGGTCAAAATTACGATCTGTGGATGAATGAATGGATGTATGAATGGGTCCGCCTTATAAACAGGTGTGACGTATGATATGGCAGAAGATTCTTGGCAATAGATGGCGCCACTGAAAAACAAGAATCGCACACTCTGCCTTAAATTTGCTCGGTTTCAGCCAGCAGGCTTGCCCGTGTGGCAAGTTGCATTGGAACCAACCAAACCAACCAGAACATTTATTTAATATTTTAATTTTTAAGTTAAAGTTGTATCACTCAAATAGCTAAATTATTTAACTTCAATGATAATCTACTAAAAATTCAAATCTAATCCAATGTGTGAACAAGAAATCCAAATGCTTCTGTTTTATGCCCAAAAAAATCTTCAACGTTCATAAATGGGATTCTCAACATCGGTTACTGACACAAAATTTATTTTCCTTTGATTCACATTCTAATTTAGCTCTGATCGATTCCTTTGCAAGAAACCTCATTAGATTCTTATCTAGAACTACAAAAAACGTTTATTTCGTGTTCAAAGCACCCTCCAATAAATATAATTGGATTTTGCTAAAAAACAAGACTTAATTACAGCTAGATTTTTATGAACAAATGAAGATTTAAAGTCAGATTAGTGAGAAATATTTTTTAGTTTAATATTTCTCTATCAGTTAATAGTGTTTTTACGGTTTCTGTTTTTATAATGGCCTGTTTTATAATTATGACTTTTAAATGAAGATATGAAATTTAGATTATAATAATGCATAGGAAACTTGATTTAATGAGAAAAGTTTTTTTTTTTAGAGTTTGCATCAAAAAGAGTTATGCTCTTGTGAAATTGCCTGAACCAGAGAAACATTTTTATTGATGATAACATTAAAAAAATATGTTTTATGCTTTATTCAAAATTAGATTTTAATTGAAAATACTATTACTAGTTATATACAAAATATTATCAACGAAACATAACATTATTTTATCCCAAATTATTGAAGGAGTCTAAATGGCAGCTAAAATGTAGAAGTGTTTTTTAAAGAAACAAAAAAAAAGAAGAAAAAAAACACTTGAAAAAATTTTATTAACAAATTGTTAGTTGGAAAAAAAATTAGATCGGAAAGCTTTGATCAAATTTAAGCTAATAAAATAGTAATAAAAATATATTATATACAATTGTTATGAAAGAAAAATAGAACCGTTAGTGCCGAGATCTTTCTTTCTGATAATTAATAATTATATTTGTTAATCGTACCGTTGCTTGTTTTTAAAATTTTCCTATATTAACTTTTTTAAAAAATGCTTTGAAAATTTTCTATCTTTTCATTTATAACAGCAAGAAGAAAAATCAACTACAACAATACATACAAGAGAACAAACTCAGGGTGAAATAAACCGTAGAGATCATGAAAAGCAGCTGTAGCAATAGTCTATAAATCCAAAAGGCTCCTGACCTCCCAGTAGCGACCCAAGAAAAAAACGTAAAGCTCGGCAAAGGATAAGATGATCACAGAGTCTGCAGATGGGACTTGAAAATGACATTTCTAAATTTAAAATTGCATATCTTTTTTCATTGCAGTTTTGTGTGAAAATATGGGGCAGTTCTTTTTAAAATGTATCGGTTTAAAAAAATACATACTACATTTTCCGCTATGTTATATTTAATTTTTGATATATCATTTCAAATTGATATTCTTATTTTTTCATGAAAGAAAAAAATAAGAATGAACGAAAAAAATTTGATGAAAGAAAAAAATAAGTAGAGAGAACAAATCTGAATTTTATTTCTTACGCATTCTAATTGAGATACAAAAACATAATTATTCTAATATAAAAAATATAATCAATGGAATTATTTAACAGATACAGATGTCAGAATACAAATCTCACTCAAAAATTCATATTCTTGTGTCCCGAACACCTTATAATATTTTTTATGTATTTTAAACTATCTCTGTTCTTCAAACGATTTCTTTTGTAAACTAAAAATTATTTACCTTCTACGAGAAGTTCCAATTCAGCCCGGTCTTCACCCACAGAATTGCTGACATGGCAAGAATATCGTCCAGCATCAGAGATTCTGACTTTATTGAATATGAGAACACCGCCTTCTTGTCTAACTGAGGGATCAACATCCGACATTATTCTCTGTCCAGCAATCATTCTATTCCAGCGATATATTGGGACCGGATGACCTTGAGCAATACAGGACAACGTAGTCCGTTGTCCAGTATTGGCTTTCACTCTGATTGACCGATGGATAATTCTTGGGGGTTGATTATGATGCGGGTCTGAAACAATTATATTAGATTAGCAAATATTGAAACAGTAACAAAAACCGAAAAAAAACTTACCACTTTCAACGAAAGGTTGCAAAGTGTTCCCTAAACACAATTATTTATATGGTTTTTTAAAACTTATATAATTAATTTGAGATACTAGATATTTATTAGTTGAACTCGGAATTTAAATTACAGAAAATCTTTGAGACAAAGTTCAAACTTTAATAAGATATTTCTTCGTCATTCACCATCTCAAATTATCTTCATTCGAACTCTTTATTCCTTCTCTTCATTCAGAAAAATCCCACCATTAAATTGGGAATAGTTAAAATGCTAAAAGTGCTTAATTTCGTTACAATTTACCATTCAGTGGGTCTGAGCATCACACAAATGTTAAATATCGCTCATATTTCTTAGGTACGTTATTGTAAAATTTGAATTTTTATGAACTATCTATCAATAACAATATAAAATCTCAATTAGGTTGCTGTAAATAATCGAAGCTAATTGAATATTCCAGATATTTGCAACTGCCCCGTCATTTTACCGTGCACCAGCATAATTAAAGACGTCTTCAGTGTTTATTGATCCTCGTGACAGTTGTCGTAATGCAATAAGCCCACATACTTTTAGACTAATTCGGGAATATATCATACATATCACAATTAGCCTTATTTATTTAAGGCAGTTAACAAAAAACCAAGTTCAGTCAAGGTTCATTACAAACAGCCTTATGAACGGCTTATTGTTCCAAGCCTAAGCAGATATTCAGTCTAATTTTATAATTATTTACAAATGTCTTAATTTTCTTAAAATCATATAGGCTGGTTGCAAAAATCTGAAAATTTCTTGTAGGTTAGAAATTGCTGGAGACTCTGTCCATTATCCTCGTACACGGTGAAAATTCCAGAGACAATTGCAAAGAACTGAATTTTTCAAGTATCATAGAACTTTGACCCATGAACTGCATTAAACGCAATGATAGGGAATAAAAATGCTCACCAGTGACGATGATCTTTGAATAGTTCATGCTCACTTTCTTTTCCCTCGTTATGGCATTTTCTGCATGACATCTATAACTAAGAGTGGCATCTCTTTCTGATATATCACGAAAGTATAAATTTCCATCTTCTAGTAATCCATATTTTCCTAGTTAATAAGATAAGAAAAAAAAACGAATAAAGTAAAGTTAGGTGAGTCTGTGGACAATTCTGCGAAATCGTAATAGAAATCTCATTATTTTCTTTTGCTACATTATACATGAATACTATTCGTGAATAATTTATGTATATTCACTTAATTTTCATGCATGTCTATTGATATTTTGTTGTTATGTTCTAATTTAATAAAACCAAGTAAATTCTTTTGTTCAACCGGTCGTTAGAGTTTTGATGTGATTGCGCACCTGGGTAGGGGAAATAATTCTTGATAAAGAATGCAACTAATTCATTTAAAATAATAATTGTACCTAAATGTTCTGGATGAAAGATTTGTGTCAACAAATATTATAATATTTAAAGCGAATTTTTCAACATTTTGATTTAAAAATTAAACAAATGAAAGAATTAAAAAAAAATTAAATATAAAAGAAATAACTTGTTGAACTGTGTTAGTTATCTTTAATAATGTGCCGTATTTTTTTAGTTTCTCTTCTGGCTACTCAGAACAAAATATAATTTTTTATAGTAAAGGAAAAATGCCCCTTACTTCTTTGGCAGAAGATGCACAAATACTTCATTTTGGTAGGAGTGACTGGAAGATCTTTGATTTAAGGTATCCGGCTAGTTTCGACAATTTTTTTTAAAAATATTAATAAAAAATTTAGAAAATTATAGTCTAATTGTTTTTTTCTGTGTAAGAACTTAGGAAACTAGCAAATTTTTTTTATTATTTTCTTTAAATGGCCATTTTTAGGTGAAGATATTGCAGTTTCTTGCATTTCGCTAACCACTGGAAAAAGAAATTTCTACTGCCCGATGCAAAAAAAAAATTTTTTTTGAAAGGATTTTATTTAGAAGGTTATTAGCTATGTTTTAAACTATTATCTTGAAAGCAAAAACATATACTACTGAGTAAGCGGTCAATATAATTAAATTATAATAATTATAATTTAAGCATATAATATAAATTTATAATAATAATAATAATTTCCGCTCTTGTCTTAGCGAAAAAACGTAATCAAAAATAAAATTTTACAGTTTTCTCTTAGTTCAAAGGAAGTCTGCTATTATCATAAACACTCCTGAGAAATTGTAGACAAATATTTTAAAAACAATATGAGATATTGTGTTTTAGGTGGAGTAAAAGGTAAAAAATCTGATTTTGAGAGAACGTAAAATTCATTATTCTACCCACTTTTATCACCTTGCACAAGAACTGCTATAACTTAATAAATAATTGTGCAAATAAAAGTTAAGTATTTTTAGAACGCTAAGAGTACAGGAATTCTATATTTATAATAAACTAGATTTCGAGAATTTTGTCTAAAATCATGTTTTTGTTAGTGCGCTTTTAGAATGGCTGTTTACAAAAAAAAAAGAAAAAAAAAGAAAGACATTGTGGTACATTACATTAGACATAGTGCTATTGAGAAATTGCTTAATTTTAAGGGATTTTATGCAACTGCAATTATACGGAATGTCCGAAAAGGGTTATGAACGTACGTTTAAATACTTATATTCACTTAGTATGCGTTGTAGTACGCACCATTCATCATAGTACAGAGATATTGAGAAACTGTTTCATTGTCAGGTATTTTATACAAATAAATGGAAGTTCCGAGGAAATGTTATGAATATTTACGCACTTGTCTCTTACAGAACAAAACGATATAGCTATATTTTTCTTTGACGCTCCTAATAATAAAACTTAGAAGAAATGACACTTAGTTAATCAAGTATAGCCTGCCTATCACAAGAAATTCCCTAGGTGATCGTCTGAAGCATTGTTGGTGTCAATATTTTGGCGAGGATCGGCGCGAGAATCATCAAAATCTCTTCTCTCTAAAATAGCGTATTTTTGTTTCCATAGCAACAGGCTGACCCAAATTGTGCGGCTGAAATTTAAATGAAGATAAATGTAGCAGACACTTTAGCAATGTAGTGTTAAAACTAACTGAAATTTCATCAAATACATTTCTATCTCTTATCGCAAACCTCTCGGTCGGTAGGGCGCTGGGCCCATGTCCAAGAGGTCGTGGGGTCGATCCCCGCTCTCCGAAGACTCTCCGTGTAGTAAATGATGACTGATGTACGTTAAATCTGTCGAGTCTCAAGGTCGTTCATGTTCTCATAACAAATCATACCTCAGGGGGTTCTGATCCAGGAGTTACCTTGTCTTCTGGATTGGTTCAAAATTACAAAGCTACGAAGTTGAACATTAGTAGTCGTAAACCCAAAATAGGGTTGGCTGTTCAACGGCTGTTATAAAAAAGAGAAAAGAAAAATATTCTCTCCGTGGGCTATCTCTTTGACCAAGATTGACCTAATTCTGTTTTGAAAGTGTTGTTTGCGGTTCAGATATTTTTTCATATGTAAGTTTATTCAGTTAAAAGAAATGAAATATTAAATTTGAAAAAAAAAAAATAATAATACTTACCGCTAATCATTCCAGGTGTGATTAAAAAACCATCGACCCTTTCCCACGATGTTACTTTGACGTAATCTTTGACAAAACTTGGTACGGAACAGCGTAGTAATGCCATATTCCCTCGTAGCACGAATTCGTCAAACAGGTGTATGTCATACCTTTGATTCACAACTGCAAAAAATAATTAAAAATTTAATTATCATCATAAATTATTTTTCAAAGTTAATCAAATGTATGACAAGCATAATTAAGTTCAGTCATTGCAAAAATAATAAAAGCATTATGTCAAGTCGTAACTAAGTTGAAATTCGAAAATATACTAATAAAAGAAATTGTGAATCTGTACAGTTTGGATTCTTAATTATTAAAAAATTTTGAACAGCCGTATTTTTGAAAATATGGCAACAGTATTTTACTCAGTGTAGCTATAGAATATTTGGGCTCAGTAATATTATTATGCGAGGGCTGTGCTTTAATTAAGAACCGTTTGAAAATAAAAACCAAACTAAAGAATATTTTCAGGACGCAAATTTATTTTCTGATTCTACATAAGTTTCTCTTTTTTTCTTCTTCAAAATAGTGGCCAAGTTTTCTTAAACACTTATCATACCTTACAACTACACTGCTGGCCACCGTAAATACAACACCCTGAAGGAAGCATGCAAATAACATGAAACTTACAACATACATTAGCGGAGGTGAGATATGCAAATGATTAGAATTTCAATTATGCACAATTTCAATTAGAATTGTACAAATGCTGAACAGCTGCGTTATGCACCAAAACACTGGTCCTGCACCGGGTATTATGGTTTGGGGCGGTATTGGATATCAATCTCGCACTCTTTTAGTACGTGTTGCCTGTACTTTCAACAGCCAGCGCTACATCTCCGATGTGCTGGAGCCAGTTGTCCTTCCTTACGTTCAAAGCTTGCCCACAGCCATATTTCAACAGAATAATGCGTGACCACACGTGGCACGCATTGTCCAAGCGTTCTTCGTCAATCGCCAGATTGAATTGCTTCCCTGGCCAGCTCGCTGATAGAAAACATTTTGTCCATGATTGCTCAACGATTGACCCGATTACATCCCCAGCTGCCACACCAGATCTACTTTTGCAACGTGTGGAAACTGCTTGGTTTGCTGTACCCCAAGAACAAATCCAAAGTCTCTTTGAATCAATGCCGAGGCGTGTGGCCGCGGTGATCTCCAACAATGGCGGCTACTCTGGTTACTGATTTTGGCAGGAAGCACACTTCACAGAAGTTTATAAATTTAATCATTTGATACTTGGTCAACATGTTATCTACAAAATAAATTTTGCTGTGATATCACTTGTCTTTCTTGGGGTTGCAATTTGTGTTGCCAGCAGTGTAGATTTAGATAACCTTCTTCATAGTAACTTGCCACCTGCTTCGATAACCAAGAGGTCACGACCGTTTTCACGTCTTTGCCATCGTTATACTGGTTGCCACTGGTTATTTGTTAAACTTGAGTATTTTAAAGACACAGAACTGATCGTACAGATTACCTACACAGCTGTAACCGAGCACACTTGTTTCCAAGGAATGCCTGGACACGACGCAAGCACTCGTTGCGACGGAAGCGTCACTTATTAGTGTACACAATAAAACAGCCCTTACTTGAAAAAATAGCCCTCGTATTTACTTTGAGCCTTTAATCGAAGCTCTAAGTATATTAGCAACAATGTTCTGAAAAAAATATAGGTCATAGCTTGATTAAAAATTGTACTTTGATTTTCAGCTGGAAAACTTAAGTGCAGAAATTTTTAATTTAACTTAATGAAATGTTTACCTAACATTAAAATAAAAAGAAAAATGTAGCATTTTATAATGATATTTTTTAATTAATAAGTTTTACCCTACCTCATGGTGAAAGCATAACCTAATTAAAAGATTGACCTGAAGCAATAAATCTGATGAAAAATTTATTCTTTGTTTCGTAGTTATAATTTTAAACTCCTTGTTGGAAATTCTGAAACTTTTAAGCTTTTTAATTTTTTAAAACTTTTTACATTTGCCATTATCTTTGACATCTTTTCTTTAAAAAATTTATTGCTAATTGGTGGTTATTTTCGTAATATTCATGAAAAGATTATTAGTTTTATGCTAATTTGTTTTTGTAGAGTAATTTCTATGTAAATAAAATTCTTTTTCATTTTCTTAATTGTTTATTGTGAACCGACAAAACTTAATTCGACAACATATGATGAATTTTTGAAATGGCTTGTATTAACGATATTTAATAATTGTTTTTCTTTTTAGTAAAAAAAAAGAAAAAGAAAAGGAAAAAATTCTTAAAAAATTCAAAATTACTCTTTGAAACATATTATGATATGATATACTTACAATTTTGGGAACATGTTATTTTTTTTAAAAAAGAAGTAAAAAGTGGTAACATAATATATTTTATTTTTAAATACAATTATAAAAACATATGCAACGGACGCAATATTTTATTAATATAATTATATTTTCATTCATATTTATTTCTTTTCAAGCTAAAGGTGGTAGGTAAAAATAAAAAATTATTAAATTTTTTTTAAAATCCATATATGATTTGCGTTTTTATACATTGGCAATTTGTTGAGGAGTTAAGGTGATTTGCTGTTATTATTAAATTTTGCCTCTTCCCTATTTACCTATTGGGGGATGGAGAATAACAAAACTTTTTTTCTTAAATAGAAGAAATCAACCATTATTCTTTTGGCAAAATCTCTATATTATTGAAAAATATATTGACAAGTAAAATTCTTACATTTTATTCATTCATTAGACAGTCCAATACTCTTTGTACGTGCATATATCATTTGTGGAGATTTATGGATGTTTTTTCGAAACGCATTTTCATGCAACACATGATTTTTTGAATTTATATAAATTAAAGAATTTACTAATTCAATGAAAACGTATTTTGACGAAGCAAATGAAAATCATCAAAACGAAAAGCTAAAAATGAATATAAGATAATTTAAAATTAGTTAAAAATTATCGGAATATATGGTTGGTAAATTGAACAATTCAAAAGAAAATGAAGAAAACTTCTCATTTTAGGTGTAATATAATAATATAATTCGAAAATTAATAAGACATATTCTAAATAAGAAACTAAAAACACCTATTACCAATAATGCGACTCTAAAAACTACAAATATATTGACCGAATTTTAACAGAAATTTTCAAAACATTACACCAAAGACAAAATTACGAGTTATAATAACGCATGATGGGTAACTAAACGTAACATGGAGATAATAAAATGGTAAACTAAACAATACCCGAGAAAATGAAAAAAAAGGCATGAAAAGTATGTAATGAATGTCATATATGTAGTAGAAAATGCAATTTAATTTTGTGAATATAAAAGACAGTAAAAATATTAAAATATAATAAAAATGAAGAAATAAAGATGCGATTTAATATATATATTTATTTCACAGTATGCTTTCATAAAAATGATTAAACTAAAATTACTTTGGGGAGGAAAAAAAAATAGAACTCTTTTTCAATAACCCTACCCTGACCTCGTAAGAGATAAAAGTTACTCTAATTTTACGCTTTTTGTGAGAAACAAGTTTTTTTTCCTGTACCCGCATCTTTTTTATATCCTTACAAGAACAACGCAACAGTTCTAGTTAAGAGAGTACTTTAGTTAAATGGTACGTGACATACGGGAAGTAAATTAGAAATCGATTTTACAAGAACAAAAAGAAGTTGTGAGAATAAAAGTTTTAAGCATTTGTTACATTAATTCTTTTAACCATTACAACTCTTCCATTCCGAGTTAACTTTTGTTTTGTACGTTGATTTAGAAAAAAAAAAAGTCAATTTGTTGAATATAATTTTCGATTTCTGCGTAAATTATTTAACATAAAGCGAATCACTCATCGCGTGAAAGAACTTTCATGCTTATGAGTATTTTTTAATTTCTAAAATATTTACAAAATTAAACTCTATTTATATTATGCAATATACAAAATTTTTATATTATTCTTAGTTTTAAATTTCTTAAAATAGGTTTTCTTTGCCCCCACTTTAAGTAACAACCATCAAATTTAAAATATGCATTTTTATAAGTTAACTAAGAAGCTAATCCCATCGTTTGCGGCCATTCCCCAGTTCAGATATTAACCTCCTTCAAAAGGATTGTTGCTTCTTTACTACCAGAAATTACGATAAAATGTACTGGCATCCTGAGTGCAGCATCCACGAAATCTGTTTTACCATAATGAAATTTAATACTGCAGTATCTACTTATATTCATATTGAAATTACATTGGAATTAGTGTATGCCAGGCTTTTCATTAGGTAATGGTCAGAGGAGTTAAATTTGTGGTTGAGTTGTGTCTTGTCAAGTGAATGGATAAATGTGGCTTAGTTATCGTTCTAAAGGTGCTGAGTAACGTGAGAGATGGACCATATTAGACTTTTTTGAGTTAAGCAGCTCTGCCATGCTGCTATTTAAGCGAGATTTGTATTCTAGTAGTCCAGTTCGACCAATTGAGGAAGAATTCGACAATCTGAAAACTCTGCGTTGAAGAAATGAAAGAAATATTGTGGTGTCATAACTGAGCTTCGAACTCCTGTTCAGCTGGTCATGAGATTGCTGGACTAGAATTGTCTGCTGAAATATGTACCCAACTGCAAGGAACTAATTGATTTCATTAGGTGTTTACCATATAGTTATTTTTATATGATTATTAGGTATCCGTTGTTGTGTTAGGTATCTGATGATAGAAAATAAAATATTAATTCGTAATTTCTTATCACATATCTTAGCCTTTCAGCTTTCGACGAACGAGTCTCCTTGGCTTTTGTCTTAGTGTGGATAAAATTCTGATTGGAGAAAAACAGTCAATAAATGAAATTTCTCAAGGTTGATTACCATATTTTTAGGTTTATTTCACTGTTTTGGTGGTAGAATAATGTTAAATAATAAGGAAATAAAGCCTCTTGCTTTTTTTCCATTCGAGATCCAACTTGAACTGTTGACAATGAAATAAATGTTTGCCCATTGCATAAAATATAAAAATACTCAAAAAACTGCTCTTTATCCATGAAAATCCAATTTTATAGTTTTAGTTGGAGAGTATTCACAGCATAAAGTTTCATGTTAACTTCAGCACATTTAATGATTTTA